AAACTGAGAAAGGGTTGACTGAGTGGCGGGCGCGGAAATAAAAAAAGACATCTTTATTGCTCAGCATTTCAACTCGTCCGTTTTCACGTGTGTTTCATTTGGAAATCGAAAGGCACTTATATCATAAACACCACACAAGAATAATATAACGAAGGTTTCGTTTTATTTCTGCAACAGTACTCTTTTTTTAACGAAAGGTGACGAAGGAACAATTTTTTAAATTCCCAGTTTGATAGCGTTGTTATAACAGCACTTGGAGGTGGAAACGGAGATTTCGACAGAGATTGTGACGGAGATTGCACAAATAATATCTTTATCACTGAGAGCGATATGATTCGACACACATTAAACTGCAAACCGCGTGAATGAATTTGAACTTCAAACCCGGAAGTAATTTGAATACATTTAGATAACAAAGTTCGTTTTCGAAGGGGCCCTAACCAGATCTAGACCCAGTTCCGTGGGCCACCTACAGAACTTAGTTCTTCATTGTAGTTGATATGTTTTTTTTTTCTTTTTAAACCTTTCGGAAGTTAATTTTCGTTAACTGATGTCCGCTCTGTCCGCGCACGGAAACTGAGTAGCAACAGTTGGAGTACTTTTTCTTAAACCATGCGCGTACCTCGCCGGATTTACGCGCGTATGATAAACAGACTCATTCAATGCATACACGTTGGAAGTGTTAAATTTTTTTACGAAAGAAACTCTTCATAGGATGTCCCAGAGCTCTTATAAAACATTCTTTTTTATGAGCCATGATGAATTTAACCGCCTCTATGTGCGTAAAATTGAACCTTGCTTTTGCGAAAAAAGTTGAATATGATAATCGATCTAAATATTTCCGCTAAATGCTAGTAAAATTAGTAGAATGAACCCCGCTAACGTGAATAACATTAAACGACACCTACATCCACCTTATCTTATCTTACGCCCTCGTAGACCGGAGGCAAGACATCCAGTAACTCCGTTGGTGAACGTTAGAAATTAAGTCGGGTCAAAATTGTAAGTCAGCCTCATAGTCATATAGGCAACATGTTTGAAGAAAACAATTTGACACACAGGCAGCCCAAGCTCACTACTAGAAAAGCGGACGTGACTCTTACCGTGTTGCGCAACGTTTTATATTTATAAAGGTTTGTATGGGATGTTATCGGTTTGCCTTAAAAAAGAGAAAAAAATGTCTTGTTTTGAAATAAAATGGGCTTACCTTATTGCCTTGTTGTTTTCTTTGTTGATTCCTAGCGTCTCAGGCCATTTTGAAGCGTTTTCGGCGAGTTAGCGCTATGTTGGCGTTCAACTAGGTAAGCCCATTTTATTTCAAAACAAGACATTTTTTTCTCTCTTTTAAGGCAAGCCGATAACATCACATATAAACCTTTATAAATTTAAAACGTTGCACAACACGGTAAGAGTTACGTCCGCTTTTCTAGTAGTGAGCTTGGGCTGCCTGTGTTTGACATTGTACAAATTATCTTTCAGCTAATTGGCCAAGTTTATTCTTATCATGACTATAAGAATCTCTTTTTTTAAAAAAAAATACCAAGAAAAAAAACTGTAATTTAAAAATCCATACAAGAGAATCAATGATGTGCTGAAATTGCCAAGAAACTTTCAAATGGTTTCCCGTCACGGAACGCGCACACATTTGCTATCAACGGAGTCAATTTTGGTCTCAACGAAACGAAAACTAAAGAGTAACGAAACATGTGCTCGTCAATACTAGTAAACTTTCTGTAAAGGACAATTTGAAGGTCAGTGCTCTAAAAAAATTGACTTCGCCTGTTCTGGGTACTTGGGTACCCAGGTTGTTTTAGAAGCTGTGGCACGTTTATAAGCACTGATATAATCTTTATTAAGAATTTAGAACGATCGCAATTAAACATAAGAAAACGAATACTGCTCGACCAAAATAGGAGAGCTTGAAACAGAATTGATAATGATGGGTTTGGTACCATACTGCTACCCAAGAAACTGACGATTTGTTTGACTTAAAGATTCAGCGGGAAATAAAACGCTGTCTTTTCGTTAATAGGTGTACTGCTTACAGCTGCAATCCAGTACACATTCATTGAAATGAGTTAAAGAAAATCTCTTTGAAGGTTTCTACAATCTTTATGCTTAGCGATCGCGAGGCCATGGGTAACTGATGATAAATTACCAACACTGCTAAATGCAAGGGAGTGAGAGAAGAATTATGAAAATTGTTTTTTGTTAATTAGACTGTTATCAAGAAATCATTCATTATTCCCTTCATCATGCTCATCGCTTCACGCATTTTCTTGTTTTCACTTCGATTCTCATTGGCTAATAGTAACGTAAATCTTTTTTCTGATTGATCGCTGGGATAAATTTGGTTTTGATTTCGAGGAAATCTTTGCAAACTTCTCTAAAACAAGTGAACACAATGTGCTCAAAGTTAGGAGCTCTACTCGAGTGCAAATGAAATACATTAAGCCATTAATTACCGAGTTCCAAAAAATCACTTTTTTTAAAATAGCACCGCTCACAAAACCTCTCTTATGAAAGTAAGTGTTGTTTGCATAAGAATGAAAAAGAAATCTTTGCACTTGCACTTGAAACAGAGATTTTGAGGATCTCGGATATGGCCTTTATCACTGTTAGTGGTTCATTTTTTTAAAAACAATAATTGCAAGATTTTTTTAATTCCTAAGGTTACGCGGATGGCGACTATCTCGCAAAGAGGAAACCAGTGCGAATAAAGCCAAGTAGCTCAGCTTTATTCTCCAAAAGTCAGGCGTCCTTACTAAGCTTGCAAATGGGAACTTGGTGAAGCTAATCAGCTACAAAATGAAGAAGAGTCTCTGTGAATGAAACTGACTTTAAATTCAATCGGATATCCCACAGGCATGCACTCGAAATCCTACTCCGAATGATTGTGATTTAGTGGTTTCGAGCTGTATAGACAGGTATTCTTCGGAATAACTTTAAAAATTCATTTTCTTCCTATGGCGATCTTCCTCTACTGGCCGCGATCCCTTTGAATGCCAAGAGGTTTCAGTACATATATCTTATTAGACGTTTTGTTATGTAGTATAGCTGAGTATTTTTACGAGTTTTGCCGTATTTTGACGAGCCCGTAGGGCGAGTCAAAATACAAACAACGAGTTAAAAAATACTCAGCGATACTACCCAACAAAACGTTTAATAAGAGATTTATTATCTAACACGCCAAATTGTTATTTCAGTGCGGGCGATTTTCGCGGATATTTGTACTCGTCTCGCGCGTTATTTGTACTCTACGAAGCACGTTTGGATAATAAAATCAAATATTTTAAACAAAGTCTTAAAATATTTGTCCATCTGCGCTCCAAAACTCACTTATTCAGATATTCTGCATGTCTTTGGTTTCATGTGACATAACACACTTTCCTTGACCTTGGAAATTCAGCCATCTGTTTTTTATGTGTGTGTGTTTTTTTTTTTTGCGTTATTTTTTCGAGTGTTGCACCATTAACCCCTTTCTATTTAGTTCCACACGTGAAGAATTGTTTGTCACTACAGATTTCTGTTGCTACCTTCGTAGGATTTTGTTCATGAACCTGACAGAGAATTCACAAATGATGTTCAAATTACGCTTATGTTTTGTACATACCACTGAAAGGCTCTAATTAAAAAGCTGACGCAAATATTACAGTTTGCATTGAGGCGAACTACTTATGTTTCTCGAAGTGAAATTTCCCTGACCCAACACTGACTAGCTACGGGAGTTCCTTATGCACATGAATGTTGTAGTTACCTTAACAAAGAGAGACCGTCTTCTTCTCAGCACTTCAATTCCTCTTCGGCTGTTAAAAGACTGGCTCGGAATAAGTCTAGAAACTCGAGAGGGAAATTGGTTCCGCTTAAAAGACAGAATAATAAACAAAACACTAAACAGATGGTTCATTAGCTGGGTTGAAATTCAAGTGAATTTACCGAATGAAGCATCAATGGCCGGCGAAGTCTTGTGCCTTTGAAGCAATTTGTTCACTTTGAGGTGGACGCCTAATTGGTGATCAGTTTTCCATTAAAAATACGAGATAAAGGTTTTTAACACGTAAATCGCATTATCAATGCAAATACTTGGCGATCACAAATGAAACAAATGGCCTGAAAATTTCTGAACGATAATGCACGTGTCTATAGAGTGCATATACACCTTGCGGACGCACAGGAAACACTTTAGTTCCAGGGAACAATCCCAGCACCATTAGAAACAGGCATTATCATGTTAGAAACGACAATCACTTTCAGGAAATCGTCTGTCTAAATCAGCTGAATCAATTGGTTAGAAAGTGCACCAAATGCACTTTATCAATCCATACTAATTCAGGCAGCTGCTACTCTTTCTTTGATTAGGTAAGAATCTTCACTGAAATACCAAACAAACAACACAGAAACACTTTCTAACCAAAAAAACTAAGATTTAAATAATATAATTTCTGTGTGCATAATTTAAAAAAAAAAAAAAATTTAATTCAGGTCCCACCGACACCAAGCTCCAGAAATGTGAAAACGTAAACGTTGTTCCTGGGATAAACTCTCCCGTCCAAAGTAATGTGGAGAAATTATTCTCTCAAACTAAACGTTTGATAAATACCCTGAGGTCTGGAAGAATTTCAAAACACCGCTACTTAGGAAGGAAAAGAAAACTGATATTTCTGAAAATGACAACGCCACTTCTTTGTATATTCATTGAAGGAATTAGCTCCTTGTTAAGCGCATGCGCTAGAATAGACTTGCGTCCTATTTTCCGCCGGCAGTAGCCTGTTGCGCGTATTACCACTAGCGTATTGCACTGTGGGATCATCGCATTGCACTATGGGTTCGTTCGGGGGCAGTGCATATCCAAGATGGCAGACGAGAGGTCGGTAAAAATTGAAAATTAAAATGTTTTCATGATAAAGTTAGTCCTACGCATCTAAAACTCAGTATTTCTGTCATGCTTTCAGATGATTACACTAATTGGGTTATCAAAACAAGAAAAGGACGGTCCAGGCTTACTCTTTCCTAATTTACCAATTTTTAATTTAAACTGCCACAATCAAATGCCATTGTATTCAGCAACGTCTCTGCAAGGAATTCACAAATACCTCATGTATTAAATAAATCATAAATCGAAACTGTGCCCTGAATATTTACTTAACTCTGCGGGTAGTTTTGCATAGAAGTGTAGAGCAACAAAATAATTTAATTTAAATCCCGCCAAGTTTGTTTCTATTTACGGCACCAAGCTTGAAGTTCGTCAAAAGCCCGCTTTTGCAATTTGTAATATTCTATCACAACTTCGCGATTAGCCTGGGTTCGTTCGTAAAAACCTCCGGCGTAAAGGTGCCATGGAAGCCATAAGGTACATGGTGCTTTAGTTTGATTCGTGCCAAGGGCCCCTTCCCAACATCCTTTGCGTCCAGCACACAGAACTCGGTTAGGTGCTTTTCGGGTATGTACACTTGAACGATGACATAGCCATCATCTTCATTGCCTTCTCGCCACGAATCGTAACCCAATCGGGGCACGAACACTGGTTCGCCTAGGCAACCGTGAGAGTACCAGACTTGACGCTCGCCGTTTTCAGCATTTAACTGCAAATCAACAATAACAAAAAAAAAACATCAATGCTTCTGAGTACTTTCGAAGATAGTTTACGTTAAAATTGACGTCCTACAATCGCGGATTACTAAGCTGTTCTATGGTACTCGTATTTTTTCTACACTAGGCTAAATGAGTTCAAGTAGGTGAGCGGGGTTTTTTCTTTACGTGTTAGGAGGTGATATTTTGAGAAGTTAAGCATTTGTCCGTGTGAAAAAATTGTCTCAACAGATTTTGTCGCGATTATGGCAAAATTTTAACTCTCACCTTCACCACATCCCTGTAAGGAAGGTTAAACCCTGGTCTGTCACACGCCATGAAGTAGTTATAACGTGAACCTCGCATGCCATGCCTGTATGGGTGCATGGAAGGGAACTCCACGCTAGCTCGATCAATTTGTGTTCGAGCACAGCGCTTGGTGTCCAAATCGATGGTGAATTTGTAAGCGAGACCCGGGGACACTGAAGCGTTCGAGAGCCAAATTTCGCTATCAAATGTCATGTCAAACTTTGTGTCCAGACACACGGCGGTAAATTCAATTCTGTTACCATCCTCCTGGGCCGTGCCAAAATGGAAAATCTGCATCATGACATAAACAGCACTTCACTACATATCTCATTATTTCATTTACATCGTTTGATACTTCATAACACCTGTTTCCTATTATTCAATACTAACCTCCATGATTTCTGTTCTGTTTAAAGCTCACGGAAAAATGTCTTTTGCGCGCAGTGAAAAAGTTAGTCAGTCCGCGTCCGGTCACTAATGTTTCCCTAAGTGTTCTCTATCGCTTTCGCCCCCAAACACTTCCTCACTCCTTGTCCGAGCAGAGTCTGGGAGGGATAGATGGGTCTCCCAACCGACAAAAGGGTCTAGTTTTGACCGAGCCGAGAACGAACTGGCAATAAACCCATTTCAGTAAGTTTTAAAGCGCTTCGGTTTTTAGACATGGATGTGCGTTTGATAAGGTTACGAAAGCGACAGAGCCACAGAACCAAAACCGATAGTAATCTCTATGCGCAATCAGAACAAAGGAAAAAACCTGAGATAACAGGCGAGAGAGAATCTAACAGAACCAAACTAGACACAGTTCCAACCGCCTTGACCTCGACTGAGTGTCGTAGAACCAAAACCAAAGTAATCCCAAGGGCCAATCAGCAGAAAGGAGAAAATCTTGGAGAGCCAATGAAAATTCAAAGTAAAAGCAACCAAACTGCTAAAGCGCGGGAAAACGCGCGCGACCACGTCGTGATTGGTTTTAGTTTTGCATCCGATTGGTTGAGAGAAAGTGGCGTGCGTATTCTGGACCAATCACAGAGCAAATAAAGCAAAACCAATGCAAACAAATGTTTTCCTAGTCTTCCTTTGATGCTCCATTGAAAATTGCCTTATGCTTTGGAAATGGAAAGTTCAGGGAGAGAAACTTACGTGACAAGGATCCGTATCAACAAGTAAAACCCCTGCGCTATCACCACTGGCATGCCGAGGTATGATGACAAAGCGAGACGGCAGCTCTGGATAATATCTCATCTCCTCTCCCGGGGAACTCAAACCAAGCATGATCTTTGCCTGGATCCACCATGATCCCTTCACAAAAGGCGTCATGTGGAACACGTAGTAGTCGGGCAAAAGGATAAAATCGTGCGCGTAATTCAGTCCTTCAATGTGATGGATTTGCTTCTGACAGAGCTGCCATGATGGATCAAACTCAAACACTGTCAAACTGGGCCTCTGTGAAAATCCTGGACGGTGGCTTATGCACACAAGTCGCTGAAAAAAGAAACAGCCACATATATGTTGTAGTTCAATTTTATACTTGGTTCAACTTTTATTTTCCTTTGTTCTCGCTCATGTTAATGTATGATTATGAGCTTGAAACAAAGGATAATAAAATTTGAACCAAGGATAAAATTGAACTACAACATATATATCAGGACTGTGCAAGGGCATGGGGTGGAGTGGGGTACCTTATGTCAGGCATTCGGTCTATGGAAACGAGTGCAAAAGCAAGCAGCCGAAAAATGGTGCGGGTCAGGCATAAAATCAACATACATAAATTACTGACAGCCATAACTACATCAGGGCGTAAAATCGCGCCTAATACAGGCGCCAATGCGACTAAATTTTTCACTTTGGCGACTAGAATTTCTAATCACACCTTAGCTAGAGATCTAGTTATTTTTGAAGATTTGTAAAGATAAATCTGCAGCAAAGTTCCTCGTTAAGCTCGTTTCCAAAACGCAGCACATGCACTACGTCGAACGTAAATCTATCGTCACTGGACGCCATATTGGATTTAGGTAACTTATAACGTTGTATATGATCCATTCTAGTGTCCTCTTAGTAGCTCGTGCGAATTTAGCGGGCACATTTTTGATGTTTGCAGGACTGTATCACTGATATGATAATCTATCTAGTACAGTGACAATGTAAAAATTTTTGTGTGTGTGTCATAATGGCCACCAACTTTTTGGAATTGACTACCACTTTAAAATATTTAGGAGTCAAGTGGCTACTGGAAAAAAAAAGTTAATTTTACGCCCTGTACATGTTTGGCTCACCCCCACCCTCTCATTTATAACTGAAGTATATTAAAATAACAATAATGGTGATAATAATGATGATAATATTAATAATAATTATAATAATTCTAATTATAAATTCCAAGAGGCAGGAGAAGGGGTCTCTCGCTTACCTTCCTGGGCGCCCATGAGAGAGATTTTGGAAATGAAATTTCTACATCACTAAAGACCAGTTTACCTTTCTTTCTGAATCAATTCTAAAATGTGCAGCAAAACATCCAAACTGTAAGTGACCATTCAGATAATCAGGACCAAGTGTCTCTAGTGTGTGTGGATCCAGACAATAGGGAACTCCTGTTTCATAACATGTTAGAACCTTAAAACATAAAAAAAGTTATTGTGCTAAGGTCCATGTCAAAGGTATTTTTCTAGTGTAGGTGGCACAATATAACAGGATTTTAAATCCCATGCAGATATTTTTCTTGATTTTTCTTTTTTTTTTTTTTTTCATCCTTAACCGATCTGGCCAGAAATTTACACTTAACTGAGAAACTGTGCATTTCAAGTACCTGCAATTATAGTAACTTACTGAACAAGAAAACTGAAGTGGTTAGCAAATGTCACCATGAGAAAACATTTTCTGCCACCAACCACAGAAAACTAATTCCAACTATGATTGAATTTTAAATCAATCGATTCAAAATTCTACTTGAATGTGCAGAAAAAACATTAGTTGGCAGATATAGTCACTGCGTTGCCTTAAATTTGAGTCACAACTCTCTGTCCTTAATTACAGTTTATAGTCAAATCATTAAATAAACTTAATATAGAATCACATGTATTTATACATACAGTCAGGCATTTTAGACCTTACATATATAGGTAATAAATCTAAATTAAAAACAATGTCAACAGCTAATCACAACCTAAGAAAATTTTGTAGTCACCATTTAAGTATACCTTTCCACCCCAGTAAAATGAGTTTGTGTTGGATGGGTTGCGGAATTTGAGTGGTGGAAATCTCCAGGATGTCAAAAGTGTTCCAAAGGCCTTTAATGTTGTATATGAAGGCATTGTTCCCATCTGACCCTGATACAGAAACTGTCTGTTGGCTTTTTCTTCCTGGCGATGCTTACTGTTTATAAATTTGGATTGGAAATGCACTTGACCATCTTGGAATGTCACTGCACAAAGCATTCCATCTCCATCGATTGCTTAAATAAAAAATATGAAAATAAAATTTAATTTAAACTGCACATCATCAGAATTTTAAATAATTAAACTGTGAGATTAAGGTTTAGATCTTGTCCTATAAGCTCAGAAGCCCATATCTGTAACGGGCCAAAGGTTGATCACTTTGAGTGACATTTAGCCCTTTACAAAATAACATCAGTTTGCATATTCTCTAAAATGCCTTATCTTCATTTCCTATGTTACTGACAAGAAGAATTTGTTTAACAATCAAGAACTTCTTTGGTTGGTGATATTGTAAGGAGAAATTTGATACTGGTCACTCTGAGAGGTTACAGGTATTCAGCATCTAGGAGTTGTGCTACTCCAAGACAAATGCAGATCAAATATTGGCATTAGTTTCTTGGCACCAGGCAAGCTGTCAAGTTTTCCCAACAGTTTGCAGGAACTGATTGAAAATAAACTTTATACTATTGGGAGTACTAATGAAATGTCAGGGAAACCTGATAAGAAGCTGGAGGGCTACCTGTAGTGGAGTGGCATTGCATCCTGGGCTTATGACTTCACTGTACAGAAATCAGCTTTGAAGCTCTGATAGAATGGATTATTAGGCCATGAGGATAACTTCAACTTAAACTGGTTATTTAAACCTCTAAAAAGTTCTAAGTCTAAGTTTGCAAATAATTCTTAATTTAATT